TGTCTCACGGGTAATTTTTCCACGAGTAGTTGTAAATTGGCTGTGTCCACGGGAGGAGGTGAGTTCAGAGTCTGCCTACGCCGCCATCTTGTCTCCGCCCTCTCTTCTTTCATTTCTAAGTTTATTTATTTGAGCCTTCTCTATTTTTTTCTTAGTGAGTCTGGCTAAGGGTTTGTCAATTTTGCTTATCTTCTCAAAGAACCAACTCTTTGTTTCATTGATCCTTTCTACTGTTTTTTGTTTGTTTGTTTCAATTTCATTTATTTCTGCTCTAATTCTTATTATTTCTCTCCTTCTGATGACTTTGGGCTTTATTTTCTCTTCTTTTTCTAGATCTGTTAGGCATAGTTTAAAGTTGTTTATTTGGGATTTTTCTTATTTGTTAAGATGGGCCTTTATTGCTATGAGTTTCCCTCTTAGGACTGCTTTTGCTGCATCCCATATTAGTTGTTATGGTGTTCATTTCCATTTGTCTCCAGATATTTTTTTATTTCTCCTTTAATTTCATCAATGATCCATTGGTTGTTCAGTGGCATGTTTAATCTACACATTTTTGTCACTTTCCCAATTATTTTCTTGTAGTTGATTTCTAGTTTCGTAGCATTATGGTTGGAAAAGATGCTTGTTATGACTTCAATCTTCTTAAATTGATAGAGGCTTGGGGAAGGGCTGTTCTAAACAAAAGTCCATTGGGGGAAGTAACAGTTCCAGGTGGCAATGACTTCTCATTGGCTGAGCTGTGGTTTTTCTCATTGGCTGGGCTGTTGCCAGATGGGGAGAGAAATCTTCCTTCAGTAGTAAATTAGTTCTACTTCTGTCAGAGATGCAAGTGTACATCTCTTCCTGTTTGGAGTAATTGACAATGTATGATAGGGTGTGAGATCTCCCCCTACAGGCCTTCCTGACTCCAATTAGTTGAGGTTTCTTTTATTCATTTCACACTCCATACAATTTTCCTGACTGTGATATTTATTTCCCTCTTTTAGTGTGATTCAGATTCTTCTTTTAGTTATGCTGCTTCATGGGACCCTGGATAAACATCCAGCCCAATTTGGACCTTCCTGGGAACCATTACTTCACTCACTGCAGCGTCCAATCAGCCATCCTCCCATCGGGCTCACTCTGGTCATTTCCACCTTCAGAACATTCTTAGAAATTTTATTTTTTTGAGGAAGATTGGCCCTGCACTAACATCTGTTGCCAATCTTCCTCTTTTTTCCTTTTTATCCCCAAAGCCTCAGTACCTAGTTGTGTAGCATAGTTGTAGAGTTGTAGCTCTTCTATATGGGACGCCGCCTCAGCATGGCTTGATGAGCAGTGAGTAGGTCCACACCCAGGATCCGAACTGGCAAACTCTGGGCCACCAAAGCGGAACATGTGAACTTAACTGCTACTCCACCGGGCCGGCCCCTAGAAATTTTATTTTTCAAGTCATGAATACATTTTAGAACCTGATAACCAGGCATTAAAATTAATTGCCCTAGAGCACTACTGACACCCACAAATATTTTTGTGATTAAAGTGATATATCAGCCATATAGTGAAAAGATTAATGAAGGGATCTTGGATTCTCAGGAGGGTAATATAAACAAAGCAAGATTGGCATTCCCACCAGCCATCTGGCTAGTGGTAGATCTGTAGAATCAATCTGAGACTGCCTCCTGAGGTATTCTGTCACAGACATCACCAGGTCTGTGTTCTCCCCAGGTATCAGAATGGTCAATTTGGAGACAGGTGTAGCCTCAAATCAGAGAAGAGTTTAAAGAGATTTTATCTATAAATCTAACAAGAACATTGTCCACAAGGGGGCACTTGGTATTTAAGCATGCAGAGTGCTGTGTTCATTCATTGTTTGCAATTACCTTCATTGAAAAGTAGTGCATATCTAGGAGCTGTGATTAATTGTATCCTCATGTTTTTCTCTGATAAGCATTCAATAGGGTGATTCTTTTAACTTATGGTTTTTATGTGTTCTTTAGTACTATAGCAATTATAATTTGTGTACTAAATTACAATTTAAAAAAATAGGTGGCGGGGCCGGCCTGATGGTGTAGTAGTTAAGTTTTCACGTTCTACTTCTGCAGGCAGCCTGGGGTTCGCCAGTTTGGATCCTGGGTGCGGACCTACTCATTGCTCATCAAGCCATGCTGAAGTGGCTTCCCACATAGAAGAGCTTTAACTCTACATCTATGATACACAACTATGTACTGGGGCTTTGGGGAGAAAAAAGAAAAAAAGAAAGAGGAAGATTGGCGACAGATATTATCACAGGGCCAATCTTCCTCAAAAAAAAAAAATAGGTGGCTAATAGAGTTTCCTTTGTACTTGAGATAGAAGAAAGGGACTTCTTTTCTTTTAAACCTAAAGTATATTTGATTTCAGGTATGTAAATAGTATCCTGAAATTTCTTATTCTTACCCTGTCGTTTCAATCTACTGTTAGAAAGTGACTTTTTGTAATAAGTTTTACAAGCAAATTAAAACAAGAACATAGGTGAAATATGATCCTGCTTGGAATGCTAAGAACTGATTAGTGTAGAAAACAAAGTAAAACAAAACAGCTCTTCCATAATGGTAGAAGAATTAATTTTTTTATGTGTGATTTTCGGGAGTTAATTTCTAGTGGAGTCTTCCATTTAACTGTAGCTTTGGTATGTCTTTCCAGGCTGCAGTTTTCTAGTGTGTGACATTTGATTATATAATCAGATAAAATGAGCTCCTTAGGAAAATCAAGAACATTAAGTTATGGGTCTTCCAATGAATTGGAAGTGATGGGATGAGTATGTGCCTCTGATAAAATAATTTTAAAAATAATTAGTTCATTTTGGAGTCAGTAAGATAAAGAATCAAAATCTAGAATGAACTTTAAAGTTATCATAATATAATTTTATAATTTTTAAAGGATTTCTGATGTGTATAATAATTTTATAAATGGATAACCACAAATATCTTGTTTTTAATGGTTCAGAGTATTTAATGACTAATGTAGTTTTTGCAAAATCCAGAATGTGTTCTTGTTTTCTCCCCAGGACAATTTTTTAAATTAATTAGTTAATTAATACTTTATTTTGTAAGAGCAGTTTTAAGTTCACAACAAAATGAGAGAAAGGTACAGAGGTTTCCCATATACCCACTACCCCCACACATGCATAGCCTCCCTCATTATCAACATCACTTACCAGAATGAACCTACTACATTGACACATCATAATCACCCAAAGTCCGTAGTTTACCTTAGGGTTTACTCTTGGTGTTGTATATTCTATGGGTTTGAGCAAATGTATAATGACGTATATCTATCATTATAACATACAGAGTATTTTCACTGCCCTTAAAATCCTCTGTTCACTGCCTATTCATCCCTTCTCCCTCCTTCCCATCCCTGACAACTGCTGATCTTTTTATTGTCTCTGTAGACATAACATAACTCTATAGTTATGCCTTTTCCAGAATGTCATATAGTTAGAATCATACAGTACCTATCCTCTTCAGATGGACTTCTTTCACTTAGTAATGTGCATTTAATGTTCCTCCGTGTCCGTCCATGGCTTGATAGCTCATTTCTTTTTAGCATTGAATGATTCCATTATCTGGATGTACCACAGTTAATTTATCATCCACCTACTGAGAGACATCTTGGTTGCTTCCAAGTTTTGGCAGCTATGAATAAAGCTGCTGTAAACATCCACGTGCAGGTTTCTGTGTGGATATAAGTTTTCAACTCCTTTGTGTAAATATCAAGGAGTGCAATTGCTGGATTGTATGGTAAGAGTATGTTTAGTTTTATAAGAAACCACCAGACTGTCTTCCAAAGAGGCAGTACTATTTTGCATTTCCACCAGCAATGTATGAGAGTTTCTGTTGCTCCACATCCTCATCAGCATTTGACAAAATGTCAGTGTTCTGGATTTTGGCCATTTTAATAGATGTGTAGTGGTATCTCATTTTTTAATTTGCATTTCCCTGATGACATATGATGTGGAGCATCTTTCCCTATGCTTATTTTCCATCTGTATATCTTCTTTGGTGTGGTGTTTGTTAAAGTCTTCAGCCCACTTTTTAATTGGCTTGTTTGTTGTTGAGTTTTAAGAGTTCTTTGTAAATTTTAGAAAACAGTCCTTTATGAGATGTATCTTTTGCAAATATTTTTTTCCCAGTCTCTGGCTTGTCTTCTGATTCTCTTGACTTTGTCTTTCACAGAGCAGAAATTTTTAATTTTAATGAAGGCCGGCTTATTTATCATTTTTTTCATGAATAGTGTCTTTGGTGTTGTGTCTAAAAAAGCATCACCATACCCAAGGTCATCTAAATTATCTCCTATGTCATCTTCTAGGAATTTTATAGTTTTGCATTTTACATTTAGGTCTGTGATTCATTTTGAGTTAATTTTTATAAAGAGTATAAGGTATTGTCTAGATTAATTTTTTGCATGTGGATGTTCAGTTGTTCTGCCATCATTTGTTGAAGAGACTATCTTTGCTCCATTGTGACCTTTGCTCCTTTGTTAAAGATCAGTTGACAAAGGCTCTATTTGTTCTGGGGGTCTGTTTCTAAGTTCCCTGTTCTGTTACATTGATCTATTTGTCTATTCTGTTGCAGTACCACGTTGTCTTAATTACCTAGCTTTATGGTAAGTCTTGAAGTTGATTAGCATCAATTCTCCGGCTTTGCTCTTCTCCTTCATTATTGTGTTCGCTATTTTGGGTCTTTGCCTTTCCATATAAACTTTAGAATCAGTTTTTGATATCCACAAAATAACTTGCTGGGATTTTGATTGGGATTGCATTGAATCTATAGATCAAATTGGGAAGAACTGACATTTTGACAGTATTGAATTTTCCTTTTCATGAACATGGAATATCTCTCCATTTGTTTAGTTCCTTGATTTTATTCATCACAGTTTTGTAGTTTTCCTCATACAGATCTTGTACATATTTTGTTAGATTTATACCTAAGTATTTCATTTTTTGGGGTGCTAATGTAAATGGTATTGTGTTTTTAATTTCAAATTCTACTTGTTCATTGCTGGTACACAGGAAAGAAGTTGACTTTTGTATATTAACCTTGTATTCTGCAGCTTTGCTATAATTGATTATTAATTCCAGGGTTTTTTTATTGATTCTTTTGAATATTCTACCTGGACAATCAGGTCATCTGCAAACAAAGACAGTTTTTTATCTTCTTTCCTGATCTGTATACATTTAATTTCCTCTTCTTGTCTTATTGCATTAGCAAGGACTTCCAGTGCAATCTTGAAAAGGAGTGGTGAGAGGGGACATCCTAACCTTGTACCTAATCTTAGTGGGAAAGCTTCAAGTTTCTCACCATTAGGTATGATGTTATTATAGGTTTTTTTGTAGATATTCTTTATCAAGTTGAGAAAGTTCCCTTCTATTCCTAGTTTACTGAGAGTTTTTATCATGAATGAGTGTTTGATTTTGTTAAATGCTTTTTCTGCATCTTTGATATAATCATATGATTTTTCTTTTTTAGTCTTTTGATATGATAGGTTACATTACTTGAGACAATTTACTTTTATGCTTCCCTTATTCCCATGAGATCTCCACAATGAACCATCTTAATTTCCTAAGTTATAGCATAATTTCAAAGTATAGTGCATCTAAAACTCAATTGTTGGAAGCTGCTACAGGGAAGGAGAGTGAGACAGGTCCCAGGAATTCTGCTTGTGGGGGCAGTCTTGAGGCTAACTAAAGAAGGTGAAATACTTTGTGTCTCTGTGTTGAGCCTAGAGGGAACAAACAAGCACAGAGCTAGGAGGCAAAGTGGTATGTTACAGGCTGGAAGGATAAAAAATAAAGATGTTAAAGCTGAAGGTGGTAATGAACAAAGTCAGAAGGACAAGGCAAGGGGTCCAGATCACACATGAAGTTACTGCTTATTACATTTCCCACATGGCATCTATAAGGTTTATGAAATTAGTACATTGCAAAACAAGTTTTTTTAATTTTAAATTTTTTCGGAATTCCTAACAAGAACTGGTGGCTAACGTCTCAAATGTAATCTGTTTTACAATTCATAATGTTTGAGTATAAAATTATTGATGAAATATTATTGAAGTAATAGTAGTATGGGGCTTTAAAAAATGTGCTTAATTGGAATGGTTCCCATTTGAGTCAAGACTTTTTTGGTTGTGAAACTAATAAGGGAGAAAGTATATGTAGTAGGCTCCCAGACTGAGCTCTGTTAGGAAATTTAATTTTAAATGACTACTATAGTTCATTGTTTGGCATATTCACTCTTACATACCCCTGTCTCGCAAACCCATACTCTTCTTCCCAAGTGCAAAATTGCTGATATAATCCCAGCTAACCAAATCCAAATATTCCATGTGAAATTGGAAAACTATGCTTGCTACCATTAAAAAATTGAGTTTATCAGGGTACAATTTGTAGAAGTAAAATCATAAAGTTGGTTTTGGTAAAGTTGAGTTTGAGGTGTCAAGAATGTTAAGAATTGGCACCCAGAGCTCTATTTTTAGATTTGGATAAGATATTTATCAGCAGAGAAACAATAGTTGATAACTGGAGTGAATGGATAAGAAGAATAGAGATGGAGATCTCAGCAGGTGAGAGCTTTAAACAAATTTTGGAAGACTCACCATTAGAGGAGTAGTCATCAACTTGACAGAGTTGAGGAAGCAACAACAAAGTGCCTGCAGAGAAGGATGTCAGTGAAAACAAGTAGTCACTCTTAAGAGCTGCTTAGTGCTTTAGAACTGACAGCACCAGATACCAAGGAAGGTGGGGGAGAGGAAGGAGCCAAAAACTGGGCAATCAGTCGAACATATATACATGGAGCAGTAGACCACTGGGACCCCTCTGCCACACACGCACACACACACACACACACACACACACACCCAGAGACACACACACACCCTGACATAGCCAGGATATTCTCCTTGAGTCAGCAGTCTATTTTCTGGAGAAATTAAGCTGCAATAGCTTTGGACTTTGGGGCTTCAGGCACAGAGAATGGTGAGAGTGAGATAGAGGTCTAAAAATGATGGAATTAAATGAAAATATGGAGTCTGAATAATGGAACTTGCAGCTCTCTTCCCCTGCCCTACTCTCAGAAAAGCAGAGCTAGGATTAAACCTCACAGATTGGAGGATTCTTCAGTTGAAAAACTGAAATGTCCTTAAGAAAACACAATTAGTGTGGTGTCCCAGAGTATGCACCTCACTGACTTCCCAGGACAGGGAGGTTAATTGACTGGGGACCCCAGGTGTTGGCTTCGAAATCCGTCACTGCTCTTGCCTCAAGACCACACCTCCCACAGGCTATTCCTTGCCCATGATGGAGTGCAGGGAGGATACTAAGGCAGACCCATTCCTGGGAAACGAGGAACTCCACTGTCTGCTGACTTTGGTTTAGGATTCCCTGATGGCTTTGTCAAACTTTCCTTAGGCTGCATGCCAGCCTAGGATGCCTGCACTTCCACCCAACTTTTCTCCCTCTCCCCTTTACTAAAGCTCAGACTTGCATTGCAGTCAGACTGCTTTCCCAGCCTTCTCCTGCTCCCTCCCTATTTCCTTTCTGATAACAGAATCTTTTCTCATTTAATCTCATTTTGGTGTCTGCTTCTCAGAAGACCGAATCTAAAACTAGAGGTACTGAGAGTGATACAAGAAAACAGGGGGTAAGATGGGGATTTGGGACTGGGTTACTTACTGCTTGGCAGGCAGAGGATGCTGTCCTGATCGGTAGATGTGGCACAGTGTGGCACATCTAGATCCTGGCCCAGTGTGGCAGTTCAGTTGTTAAAGACTTCACTGATGTTGACCTCAGAAAATGTTCTGGTAGAGGAAACTCTTGTAGAAGAAGCCATGATGCAGGCATTTGAAAAATATGGGATTATTGCTAAATTGTATTGACACCTTGCATAAGGACAGTGAGAGACTGAGAACAGTTACTAAGCACTTAATATCTAAGAGTGAAAACCAGTGAGTCTTGGTGGTGGCCTCTAAAGAGGCCATCAACACCAGTGGTGGAAGGACAGACACAACAGAATAGTGGGCTGAATTGTGACAGTTGCAGAGCTTCAGAGGCATTTGAATGCTCAGTCCATACAGGCTTGTTATGTGAAGGGCAGGGCCCTGATAGGGATAACCAGGGATCCTGAAAACTGTGACAGGACATCTGGATGGATGCCCATGAGGATGCTGACTCTACAAGTCTACCTGGACCCTCTGGGCATGCAGAGGTGGCTCACCTCTAGCTCTAGTAAGAGCTGAGCACTCACTGTCCTAGAAGATGCTGCAGAGACCTCTCCCCAACAAAGCAACAGGTTCCCCACTCAGGAGCTGCCCCCACCTACTCTCCTGGCTGCCAGGCCAATTAACAAGGGTGCTGTTCAACATCTATAATAAAAAAAAGCAGGAACAGAGGAGTAGGAGGCTGAGGACAGTTACCCCAATAGAAAGCATAATTCTTTGCTCATTTCCCAGACTTGAACCAGTATACAGATCCAGAAATCATTGACCAAAGAGTTGACTGGGTTCCCAGGAGGAAGGACCCTAAAATAACAGTCCAAATATGTAACATGACAATATCCCCAGTCTTCCCCCAAAAGGATCTCTGGCCACTTATACAGGTGACTGTACTCTGTGGGAAAGGAAATAACCAGACATTTTGAGGTCTGAGTTGACATTGATTCCCAGAATGGGCATCTATGCTTAAAGTCCCAAACACACTGGGCCCAATGTGCCCACAGACTCCCCCGCCCCACAGCGATAATTTTCCCGGTCCCTGGGCACACAATTGACATTAACTTCCACACTGGGCCCTCATCACTGAAGTAAAAGCTATCATGATGGGGAAGACCAAATGGAAACTTTAGAAACCATGTCCTCCCACCCAAAGCCAAAATTGTAAAACAAAACAATTTCTTGTCCCAAGGAAGATAGCAGAGACTAGCACCACAATCAAAGACCTAACAGATGCAAAGGTGCTGGTGCCCATCATAGCTCTGTTTAATTTGCCAGTCTGGCCCCTGCAAAAACTGGATGCATCTTGAGCCAGCCCTGATGGCCTAGTGATTCAAGTTTGGCACGCTCCACTTCAGTGGCCCAGGTTCAGTTTCTGGGCGCGGAACCACACCACTTGTCTGTCAGTAGCCGTGCGGTGGTGTTAGCTCATATAAAAGAACTAGAAAGACTTACAACTATAATATACAACTATGTACTGGGGCTTTGGGGAGGAAAAAGAAAAGAGAGAAAGGTTGGCAACAGACGTTAGCTCAGGGTGAATCTTTCCCAGCAAAAAAAACCCCAAAATACAAAAACAAACCTGGATGCATCTTGGAGAAAGATTGTAGGCTACCACAGACTTCATCAATTAGTAGCCCCAACTGCAGCTGCTTTGCCAGATGTGGTATCGCTGCTAGAGCAGACTGATAAGTCTTCAGGTATAGGGTACACAGCCATTGATTTGGAGAATGCATTCTTTCCTTTCCAATTAGAGAAGACGATCAAGAGCAGTTTGCAACTTCCAGTTTTAGCTCCAGTATGTATAGTGCTTGGAAGTCATCAGTCTTCTCATTACAACAGGAAAAAAGGTGGATAACCTGAAAATCAATGACTCTTCTTGACTCATTAGAGAACTGAGTTTGCAGGGCAAACTTCCATCCTGAAATCTGCATAAACAAACAGACAGTCCCCAAGATCTGCTTACCTGGAACTGAAGCTGCTGGAAACATAAACTAGTAGGAACACTTAAATGGTAATTTTGATGAATTACTGGAGGAAAAATAGGCAAATGCATTATTAAAGTTAGAGACTTCAGCACTCCCCCTGTCAGTAATTGATAGACCAAACAGGCAGAAAAATCAAAAAAGATATAGTTGACCTGAACAGCACTATCAATCAACTCAATCTATTGACATATATAGACTATTCCATCCAACAACAGTAGAATACAGATTCTTCTCAAGCTCATGTCCAACATTCACCAAGATGAACCACATTTTGGGCCCCTATTAGACTCTCAGCTTCATGAGGACAGGGTGTGGGTTTGTAATTCTCACTGTGGCATCCTAGCACAATGCCTGACACATAGGAGGTGCTTGATGAATATTTTTTGAATAAATGAATGAATTGTAAAATTAGGCGACAAGACAAGGAATCTAGTCAGGATGGGAATAGCAGCAAGATACAGTCTAACACAAATAATCATTTCTGACTCAAGCCTATAATCAATACATAGCTCCCCTATCTCCCTCTTTTTTGCCCATCCAAATACTTTCCATGTGGGGGGCCCTGCATGCTCTAGCCCACATGGATCAACTTCTTCTAAAAACCTGTGAAGCATTTATTGTCTGTTTCACATTTTGGCATTTAGTCATATATTGCTGTGAATTTTACCTATTTCTTATGTACGTTTCTTGTATGAGCTGCCAGAGTTTAGGATCATATCTCATCAAATCCTCTTTAATATAAAAATAATTTGTATTCCAGTAGTTTATTTGTAAGATAATTACTTTTAGAACTTAGAGTGCATTTTCCTGTTGAAACAATATTAAAAAGGGTTAGATTCTCTTTTACATCTATAAATATGTGTTTAACAATGATGTCACTGACCCATATTGTTGTGGTAGGCTAAACTTGGAATCCTTACAGCAGGGGTCCATGCAGCAAAGTTCTGAACTACTTCCATCACTCCCTGATCATCCCTCCAAAAGCTTTTCATACTTGAGCAGTGGTTGATTTCGTAAGGGTTTAATTTTCTATAAAGTAACTCATTTCAGCCTCTTACCTTTGTAGGGCTTTTTATTGATTTTTTTCTGGAGCAAGTTTGTAATTGAGGGAGGAGACTGAAAGCCATTCATGATGCCAGTGCATAATTTTCAAAGACAAATAATGCCAGCCTGAACTATCACCCGATTATGTTTTAACAGGGATGTTAATCAAATATACGTACAGAGGATTGTCACTTCCAAGGGATTTGTTTTATCACTGGTGTTATTTTTAGAGACCAGATTGTGCCCTGTTTCAGCTGACCTAATTATCCTATTGATACAATTTTAAAAATTCTAATAATTATTAACAAGTACCTAAGAGAGAGTAAGTAAAGTTTTTAGAGAATTAGCTGTGTTTCAAGAGGAGGCTATGAGCTCTAAAATGTCTTGCGGTATTGCTTTGTGGAGATTTAAATCAACTGCTTCCATTTTTCTTTGAATGTTTCTTTTAATAGATTCAGTGACCTAGATCATGACCAAGAAGAGTTGTACAGAATTCGACTTGGAGAATGTTTTATTTAAAGTGTAAGAATATGAGAAATAATTGAAGTTAGTAAAAATGATCAGTTATTAGTTTGGGGATTAAAATTTTAAACCAAATTGGTGTAATGCGTTATTGCTCTGGCACTTGGCTAACCCTCTTTGTCTCTACTCAGCTCCAGCTGTTTGTGATGAGGGGTGTCTGGGTGGAGGTCTTAGTTTCTGGAACTGCCCTACTCTGCAGTATTCTCATAGTCCCCCTGGTTATCAGCCTTATTTCCTGTTCTGCCACCTTGCTTCTGTTAGACTGGTAGCAATCATATGAACACACATAGAATAATTGTTTAGCACGTGTGGCCTTTGGAGTCCGATTACCTGGGTTCTAATTCTAGGTCTACCATTTATTAGCTATGCATCTTTGGGCCAGTTATTTAGCCTCTATCAGATGCAATTTTCTCAACAGTAAAATGGAAATGAATATATTAGCCACCTCAAATGCTGTAATAAGGATTAAATGAAATAATCTCTGGAAAGCACTTAGCACAGAACGTGGCATATTGTTAGGGTTCAAAAAAGTAATTATTATTACTACTATTACTTAAAAGGTACATATTATAACATGAAATCCCAGATGGTTATGAGGTAGAAGGCATCCACCAGTGAAGAGATTGATGGTCATTTCTTGTTGTTTAGAACATGAGTACATGTAAAAATTTACTGTTTATACTTTCAGAAATCCTTAAATACGTTACTTAAACAGCTAGAAAAAGAAAAGAGGAGACTTGAAAGTCAAGTAAAAAACTATGCACTGAGATTGGAACAAGAGTCAAAGGTTTGTTTTTATTCTATACTAAGAAATTCCTTCGAAACTGTCATAATTTTTAGTATGTTATCTATAAACCTACTATATAATTATCACAAAATACTTACAAAACTATTTCCTACACTATTTTTTAAAAAACAGGATTGAGACTTAAACTTAATTTAGTAATAGTCTTGCTATATTGCTAATCTTCTCTGATGCTGGATTCTTTACTTTTGTATCTTCCATGGAGGCTTACCACAAGACCAACAGTGAACGCAGTATGTACCTAGCTGAAATGTCCCAGGTAACTTTTTTTATTTTACTTCCAAATTCTAAGAGTTTCCTCTTACTATAAATTGTGTTTTTCACTTTTCTAGGTTTTTGATTAGTTTGGTTTGATAGAGAAACAGATGTTGGAATTATGGGAGAAAAGTTACCAGGTTTCTAAATATGGAGGGTGAAAAGGAAAATATATAACTTTTATGAAAAGATAAAAAGGAGATAAAAGTTTCCCAAATTAAAACAATATTTTGCCTATTTGCTTCCTTAGTTATCCTTTTAGTTTGATCTGTAATTGCTGGAATTCAAACAAATAAGCAGTTATCCCTCTGCTATCATGAAATTCAAGGCACTTCACTTCATAATTATGTGTGTTGAGGTCTAAGGTAGACAGAGCATTGCTATTGCTGGAACAAGTGTACTTACAAATGACAGAACAGGAATGTGATCAGTAAATTATGAAAGATGTTGCACATATTTTCCACAGTTTTTCATTTGCTTTTCAGTTTTATTTATGATGTTGTTGATTATAGAGTTTTTTGATGTTCTCAGACTTATCTCTTATTTGTGGCTTCTGATGTCATAGTTTAAAAGACCATCTTCATCCCAATGTTTTCATATCATTCATCATATCTCTTTTTAGTACTCATATGGCTTAATATTTGACATTTAAATATTTAGTCCTTATTAACTTTATTTTGGTATATGTTTTAAGATTAGGATATGAGTTCAGTTTTCAATGTGCATTATCCAAATGGACGTGTCCAAAGAGAAGTTGGATCTATGAATCTCAGAAAAAAAAAGATAAAGATTAGAGATATAGATTTGGAAATTATTAGCATATAGGTAATAATGATGCCACAAGAATGAATGAAATGTATCAGGGAGATTACACAGGGTGAAAAGAAAAGATAGTCTAGGATAGAGCTCTGAAGAGTTTCCACAGTGATAGTCAAGGGAAGAAGAGCCAAAAAGAGGATGGGAGTCTTCAGGACATAGCTAGGTGAGGCAAGGAGGTAGAGGACCTTGAGGGCTGGGTTTGCCATAAAGGTAATCAGCTAATCACTCATCTGGAGTGTCCATCGAATCAATGAAAGGATTGAGAGGGAGTGAGTTAGGTTTGGAGACTGGAGCTCATAAGGGATGTATAGAACAATTTGAGAGTGGAATCAGGCCAATAGTGGGTAAAGGGAGACTTGGACGTCTAGTGCTAAGGTAAGTAGGAAATTGAGACAAAATGGCATCACTCCTTGCGGTCTCTTACCCATAAAATGGACAATCAGTTGAAGCTTTACAGTCCTGGATGCTCGGTTGGAAGCACTGCTTCCTGCTGCAGCGCAGGCACCCTCATGCCTTTCCTCAGACCATGTACTCCACTTGGAATATGCTGCTTCTCATAGATGCCAATTCCATTTCCTTCAAGGTCTACCACAAATGCTGCCTCCTTTATGAGGCCATGATATGATGAAAGACCATAGACTTTGGTGTCATTGCAAATTTGGATTTGAGTCCCAGCTTTATATTTACCACGGTGTGACATTTTTGTGCCTTCATTTCTTTCCTCCTCTGTAGAAGGGAAATAATAGTAGTATCTTGCAGGGGGTTAGTGAATGTTTAGAGACTATATGTCTGAGTGAAATGCCCGATGCATAATAGGTTCCAAATTCCAGTAAATGGTGGACATTGTTTTCCTGTGTTTCTCTTCTGATCTCCCTAACCCCTCTCTCTGTGATAGGGACGTCAGAATTTCTACTTGCCGTAGTCTTCCTCCTTTATTGTGTTTATCTGAAAAATTCATGTAGGTGGAATAGTTCCTACTCTGATTATACAGGATCACTGAACATATAATCAAAGCCTATTTTAACAGCTTCCCAGGAAGATGTTAATCCTGTTCCCCAGTATAAATGTTAATAAGGATTTTCACTCTAGAGTGAATTGTTAATCTTTATATTCAAAGATGGTTCTGACCATGTGGATACATAGTGACCGGAAAGGTCAATGGATGATTTGCAGTTCTTTCCATGCTGAATACATGAATAATTGATTCTTTGGGAGATAACTAGAGCTATTTTCTGAGTCTGCTGTTTATACTTCTGCTGTCTTCACGGTTTTGATTGAAACTGAGTTTCCACATCTCAAAATTCTTATAATTTACACAGTGTGTGTACAGCACGGACATTGCTTTTTAAGAATATGCAGGTACACTGCATGACTTAAAAGTCAGGGAGAAAGACTGACTAGTGTTTTTTGCAACAGATAATAAACATAACTTCTATTCCCATAAACATAGAATTTTAGCAATGGATCTGAGAGGTTGTGGAATATAATGCTTTTGTTTATAGATAAGGAACCTGAGGGCATTCTGTTTTCATTGTCGGGCAGTTCTAGAATTGTTAAAGCATCTTATGATGCTCATTATTCTCCTTCCTTGAAGCTTCCTTAAAATCCACTGATTTTAGTTCCATCCTCTGAAGAACACAGAACAATTCCACACTCCCCTCCTGTATGACAACTTTTCAAAGATTTGAAAACAACTCTGAGTCTTCCTATAGGTTTTTTTTTCCTGAACTAAAATATTAAATTACATTAGCCATTCCTCATAACAGGTTCCAGACTATCCAGCTATTTCTGTTGCCTTTTTTGACAACTCTTATTTTGTTATTGTTCATTTAAAAACAGAGCGTCCAGCTTTAAATCTAGACTTGAGATATAATCTCAACAGCATAGCTATTAAAGTCTTGTCCCCACCGTACTCATTTGTCTTCTCTGCTGCCCAAGTGATCATTCTGAAATACAGATGTTATGGTGTTGTTCCTCATTTAAAGCCTTCAGTGACTTTGCATTGTCCAAAGGATCTCAGCAGAGCTCCTCAGTGTGGTCTGCGAGGTCCCCTGTGACACCAGTGCCTGCTCTCCAGCCTTGTCCCTACTCACCCGGTACTGCAGCCAGACCAATGATATGTGCAATTCTTAGGTCTCTCGTGCTGCTTTATAACCTAGGCCCTTGCTGTTCCTTCTGCCTGGAATGTCCTTTCTCTAGCTCTTAATTGGCTCCTCTTCCACGTGGGGCTCCCTATAGCCTGAATTAGTTGTATGTGCTGTATGCTTACAAAGCACCTATGCAGACCTCTGCCAAGGCGGTGAATTGTATCATCTATTTATTTTGCTGTTTCCCCAACAGATTGTAAGAAACATGACTTGTCTTTGTACCCCAGTGCCGCATCTAGTGGTGACACATAGTAGATGCTCAATAACATTTGCTGCGTAAATAAATGAATGAATTCCACCTTTCTCGTCCAACGTGCCCAAAGTTGTCACTCTTAGCCAGTGATCTAACATTTTACTTCATAAAGAAAAGAGAGTTTATCAGGTATGAAATCCATCTGTCTTCCTTTTACCTTCAAACGTATCCGCATCTTTATCCACCATTCCTGTCCCTCCTCTTGTCTTAAAAAGGATCTCAGACTTCTTCCCAAGTCTATCCACTGCCTGTAGGACTAACTTAGTAAGTATTTCCCCTTTTATTTTTAATCTCTCTTCCATTGGCTGTGGCTTATCCTTTGTTTGCAACATGCTCATTGCTTCCACCAAGACAAAGCAAAAACAAACTTTTATTTTACTCTGACTATCCTCATAAAATTATTACCTCAGCTTTCTTTTTCTCAGCCAAATTTCATGAAAGAGTGGATATATTCACTGCCTTTGCTTTTCACTCCTTGACCTCTTTCAGCTCACTTCTGACCCCACCATTGGGCCCTGACACAATTTACCTCTTGATAGCCAAATACGATGGCTCCTTTTCAGGCCTCCTGGTAGTAGACATCTCTGAGGCATTTCATACTGCTAACTATGCTCACTTTTTTGAATATTCCCCCCTCCTGACTTTCATGACAGTACTTTTTCCTGGCTTTTCCTATTGTTTAAATAATGGCTTTATCTATCTTTACTGATTCTCCTATCCCTTAAAAGTTGCTTTCCCAATTTTATATCATCAACTCTCTTGCTTCTCTATGTGCTCTTAATGAATGATCTCATTTACTCGTGGCTTCAGTTGCCATCTCTAAGGTCATCAGCCTCAATTATTCCTGAATTGCAGATTATGTTTACATTACCCACAAGAAGTCTCCACTTTTGTCTCTTGGAGGAATTTCAAAATAGACAAAAATGAAAATAAGATCTTGTCTTTCCATTTCAACATACCTACATTTTCTATTGTCTTATCTACCTTAACGGCAGAGTGCATGTATTATTTATATTTAGTGTCTATTACAAAAACTTTTAATGATCTATACTACATGGATGATATGATTTTTCACAATTTCCTCTATATTTAAAAATGGTATGGACTGTAGGGTTGAAATAAAGGGGTTTCCAGAATCTTTCTTTAGAAGCCTTGTCCTACTGGAGAGGGCCAGAATTTCCCATTGTTTTTAGCTTCTTTTATACATGCTACTAAAGGAACTGGTTATGAAAGTGTTAATTGAGAATTGCCTGTTCCTCTTATCTCTGAAATCAATCATAAAATAAGAGGATAAATGCTCAGATGTTTGTATTTCAGGTCTCTGGCTCATACCAAGTCTCTAAAAGGCAACAGATGGATCAACTGCCTAGAATGAAAGAGAATCTAGTGAAAACGTAAGTTTAACTATGTCTCTCCTTTCTAATTAATTATATTTGAAAGTGAATGGTACTGACAAAACTGGTGTCCATTATATTTTGGAAGTTGAACTTCTATATTTTATAGCAACAATATAAAGTAGCAGATGGTAAGACAACTTAAAGAAGCTTGTCCTCTCCTGTCACTATTTACATACATTTTTGTAGATCCCAAGAACATTTTTTGTCCTTCAACATGAAAAGTTCTTATTTTCTAAGCTAAAACAATACTGTACCCAAGGAGAGCTTAAAAGTACACCATTAACAACAATATAAATACAATTAGGTTACTAGCATTAACCTTTCTAGTGAGGAAGTTTGGACACTGAAATAAATGTAGATGATAGTGCAGTTTACACCATGTTTTTCTATGTAAACAAAAACAATATAGGATGAATAAAGAACAGAAGAATGTTTTATGGGTTTAGGAGGTTATATCTACACACAATTTTTCCTGGTCCTATACTAAGTACAGAAGAATTACTCAAGCAACACTGTCTTATAAACCTTATCCCAGGTAGGGGAATATATTCATGTATAACTTAACAATATAAAAAATGTAAGCCAAGATATAAATTAGCTATAAATCAGAATCCTTTTCAAATACAGGCACTCAAGGTGTATGCAGGCCTACTATGTTAAATCTTTTCTGCACAATCACCCTAAATATTTATTTTTTATTTTTACATTTATCTTCTAGTTCTAATTTCTTGTAAAAAGATATCACCTCTCTTATTCAAATTTGCTTAAGTAGTGAAGGGAGAAATATTTTGAAAATAGAAATAAAACTGCTTCCTTCTAATCATATATTAAGACACTTATACGTGTATGTATCACTAGACTACAGGTCTATGAGGGCAGTTTGGTTTTCCATTGAATACTGTTTTAGGTTGGATCTTCCAGAGTAGACTCTGAAATGGTAATCAGCATGCAGGAAGTTTACTAATGAACATTCTTAGAATCAACGGTGGAAGGGAAGGAAACAGGTTTGGGGAGAGGGATTAGGGTTATAGTGCAGCTGCATCCCACGTACCAAGCTGATTCATCAGTGAACCAAGTGTGGGCCTCCTCTTCCTCTGATGGGATGACCTAGACTTTTATACAGCTAAGAGTCTGATCCCTGTTTTGCCATGTCCTTTTCAGGCCATGGCTAAGGTACTTGTCCACTTACTGTCAAAATTGGGCAAGATAGTACCAAAGGACACTCAAGTAGGTCATCTAGGTGCCAAACCTATCCCTCCTTGTCCTCTTGTAGCAGCAGCTGTATACTATTCTGATGATCGGTTTGTCTGTGGGGCCCTCCACGCCATAGGCCTGAACTGAACTTGAGGTGCTGGTGCATCAGAGGTGGATGACATGGTCTTGGATACCCACTCAGTAAGCTTACTTGTGCCCTCTGGCACTGCTCATGCTTGATCTTGGATGTATCACTTACATCTTTGATAGAACCTTACATTGAATATAGTGCCTGGCATAAATAGGTAAATAGGTGTTTAATAATTTTTGAATGAATGCATGAGTGAATGAATGGTCACACAAATGGACAAAAACCCCTTCACTTTCTGGAGATATTAATAACCCAAGTTTCTATACCTGTAATCTTCCAAATTAGGTGTATATAATTGATATTACCTTAAAATATTGTTGTTCTGAATTTCTGACAACTCTGGAATTTAGTGTACTTCTTTAGTTGAGGATTCAAATTTTAGTCTTAAAACCAAGTTTTGGTGTTAGGTACCTCACAGAAGAGGATATCCAAATGGCCAGTGGACATATAAAAAGTTACTCAACACCATTACTCATCAACAGAATGCAAATTAAAATTATGAGATACCACCACAAATTTTAAAGATTGATGATTCCAAGCGCTGCCAAAGATATGGAGGAATAGAGGCCGGCCTAGTAGCGTAGCAGTTAAGTGCAGCACTCCACTGCAGAGGCCCGGGGTTCTCGGGTTCGGATCCCAGGCATGCACCGATGCACCACTTGTCAAGCCATGCTGTGACAGTGTCCCATATAAAGTAGAGGAAGATGGGCACAGATGTTAGCCCAGGGCCAGTCTTCCTCAGCAAAAAGAGGAAGATTGGCAACAGATGTTAGCTCAGGGCTAATCTTCCTCACACACACAAAAAAAGATGTGGAGGAATAGACGACTCTCATATACTTCTAGAAGGAGTATAAATTTATACAGTCTCTTTGGAATACTGTTACCATTACTTTCTACATTTAGCTGATCATACACCTGTGACCCAACAATTCCACTCCTAGTTATATACCTCACAGAATGGTGCATACATTTTCACCAAAAGATCTGTACAAGAATGTTCATAGCAGCTTTATGCATAACAGCTCTAAACGGAAAAGAACTCAAATGTCTATCAATAAAAATATGGATAGGGGCCGGCCTGGTGGTATAGTGGTTAGATTCGTGCACTGCACTTCAGTGGCCTGGGGTTCGCAGGTTTGGATCCCAGGTGCGG